ATTAATAAATGATGAATCTGACTTGAAGATTAATAATACTATATCGTTTGATGTGCACATATAGTAGTAGTATCTGCAGCCAATTTCTCATGTTCAAATATAGACTATATACTAGACATTTTATACAAGTTCAACCTTTCTATCGCATTCACTACATCCTAATGTACACAATTACTTGCTATCTGTCTCCATCGATCAATTATTCACACCATCATCGGCTATTTTATCCTCCTAGAACCCATCGTTACCGACAACAAGTCGAATCAGTTCCTCAAAGCGTCGACCTCTGCTGCAGCGATGTCGAGGGGCGGCAACTCACCACTGCGCATGTCCACCACACACCACGGAGACTTGCAACAGATTTCGTTCGATTTCTCCGCTTCCGCTGAGCCACGTGGTTCTAATAACAGATCACAGCCCGTGACCCCCCGGCGTCAGAAGAGTCTGGATAAACTGCTGGCCAAAGAGCGCGAAGGCGCGGAGCGAAGGCGTTTGCGCGGGAGTGCTGAGGCGAGCGATGCCAGTGATGCGGAGACAGAGTTTGTGACGAGTGAGAGTGACTGGGATATGAGGAGCATCGGAGGCACCACTGCGGAAACCTACGCCTACGCTCAAGACCAGATAGAGGAACGCGCCAGGAATCAGGACGATGAGTACTTGCAAGCCAACCAGGAGTCTGGTAATGGGTACAAACAGGTCTACGAAGGGGCTAATGATGCGTACAACCAGGGGTATGACGAGAATGTGGTGATGGGCGTGGGCCAGACCCTGGCCAATGCACGTGATGCTATGAATGGCGACTTCTACGATGAACAAGACAATGGCGAGTACAACGGAGAGAGTGTGGGCTCGGTCAGCAATAGCGAGGACGAACCGGGGGCCTCAAATGGGCCTATGGATGCCGATGGCGGGGTGTTTGCGGCTTACTTCAAGCCTGCAAGCCAGCTGAGCAAGCCTAGTTCTCTGCGGTCGGTGCTGTCCACCATCGCCGATACCGGAGACGATACGTCGGACGAGGGGGCCGGCAACGTAGACCCAGCGACGTTCAGGGGTGTCGTTGCGAAGACGAAATCGCAGTACAGCAATGTCAAGCCACACGTGATGAAGCACTCGTCAACAGGCAATGTACTACAGACAATATCTTCAGATGCTGAACTCAGAGCTCAACCTCGGCCCCGCCATCCGAGTTCCGGTAACGTCGCGCCGTCTCGGCTGGCGTCTACATCCTACAAGTCGCTCAACAGTGCCAGTCCCACCCGCTGTACCGTGCCCTCAGGCAAGGACAAACGCAGCCTGAGTGTCAGCGATGCACGCAGGTCTTCCCTGTACCAGACACACTCGAGCGATGTGCTCTCTACCAGCAGTTCCATGGGTAATATCGTGAGCGGTAGCAAGAGTACAGACAACCTGCACGCGTTGGGAGTTGCGCCGAGAAAACAGAAACTCAAGCCACAGCCTCGGCCTATGAGCACCATCAATCCGAAGATCAATAGTATCTCGGGCAACCAGGCGAGGAGTAATATGAGTTATAAGTCAGGTACTCGAAGTAGGCCGAAGAGCACCGCGGGGTTATCTGATATCATTGGCGCGTATGGGAGTGCCGGAATGAACGGTTCTACTTCTGATGCAGGGGTTGGTTATTCACGCCGATTAAACCGGTCTAATTCATCTGGGCAGTTAGATGGGTATCAAGTCCAAGCGGATGGGTATGAGGGTCAAGGAGAGGTTTACTATGGCAACGCCCAAGGATATGATGGCAACCAAGGTGTTGATTTTAACAGCTATCACGAGTATAACAGCGGGAAGTATAACGGGAACAGTCCGCACTACCAGGAGGGCAACCATGGCAACTATGGCAACTATAGCAACTATCCGAACGACCACGATCACTTTCACGACAGTTACTCCGATTCCCACTCGACAGGATACGGCGGCAGCAATAGCACAGCCAGTCTGATGGGCGAGTACGAGAACCTGCTTGGTCGGGAGAGTATGGGTGTACCTGCGTACAGTGGCCTGGTCAATAAAGACCCACCCCCTGTACGCGCGCCACCGAGCGTGGGTTCTATGTTAAATGTGGATACCAGCAAATCGTACGGCAGTCAGGAGGGGAGCGGGAGTAGCACCAACAGTGTGGTCGAGCAGTCGCGGATGGGCCGGGGCAGGGCCAGCAGTTCGAAAAACATTCCAAGCGGCAGTTACATGGAGGCGGATGCGAATGGCCAGGGTGTGGATGCGAGTGAGAAGTTGAAGATGAGAGAGACCAGCCAGTCGAAGTTACGGTCGGAGAACACCATGTCTGGTGACTTCTCGAATGCGCGCATGCGCAAGAAGAAGTCAGGTACCTCCGGATCGGATAAGAAACGGAGGACAATAGTCATGCTTAACTTTGTAAAGCCCGGGAAGTCGAGTTAACAGTGTGGCTAATGCGCTTGGCCATTGCTTGCCAATTGTAACTATAACAAAACTGTTCTTGTATGGGCTTGTACCGTACCGAGATGGGTATTGAAGCAATGTATGAAAAGCGGATAGCCCGAGCCCAGAACTGGGGCAAGACACTGTGATAGCACGGGGATGTAAACCCATTCTTATACATTCGTGCCGAGTTCTGCTAACCGTTGGCGCAACATGCAGGATGTGCATCGACATCTAAGAAATACCATATCTATACCTCTGCCTTGACCAGCCAGAGCGCTAGCAAATGGACTACACTGTACACACCCACCTTTAATTGTCGTCTGGTCCTGTCTCAAACGGAGCACACGCACATACAATCAGTGCTCCCGAGAAACTACATCAGGTCTATTTAGAAGTTGTATTTAGCTGTGATAGAAAATAACACATAGTTTCTCTATATTGGGGAACATAAACACGTTGTTTCTCCATACTTGGGTGTCGCCTGGTATTGTATGGCGTAGGCTAATCGGTATCAACGCTGAATGCCAGCATTCAGCCGCATTATACACAGCAAGCCTTCCAGAACTCGTGCGAGAGGATTCGATCGATATTACACGGATATTGATAGCCAAGCACGGAATGGAGATGAGCACACACGTCGGGCCATACAATCGACACCGACACATGGCAAGTCATTCCGTCGGCGAGAAAAGGGGATGATTGTGAAGGGCTGTAGCGACGCTCGACAATACATACGAACACACACACACAAATCATGTGAGCGGCGTGCGAGCATGGATACTTACGTATATACGGGCAAAACGATGTGTCATGCACGTGCGCAATCACGTTCTCGTAAACGTTTCCGAAAAGTATGGATGCGCGTGTGTTATGACGGAAATGCACGTACATAAATAAGCGGTTTGCGTATACTTGCGCTCTTTAGCAATACACTTACGCAACTGCGGTATCACCCACGTGAACAAATACATACACATACAGATTTGCAAACACGTGATCATGCATGTACACGAAAACATGCGTATACACTTACGCAAATGATGAGTGCGCGTGGATGAAATTGTACGCATAAGCGTGATGAATGCGTCAACGTACACGCATCCGAAGGGGTATGCGTGCTGCGAGCGACAGTCCCCAGGGCTTTATGTGAGCTATCAGTTAGTGGACGGTTCTTCGCAAATTGTACATGAGAAAAATAAATAGTAAAACCTCATATGCTTTTGTATAGCGCTCATTTTTTTGTGGCGAGGTGTTGTGGGTGATATAAAAAGCGATATTCTAACTGATTGCATTGAAATTGCAATACATGTTGTGCATCATGAATATAAATTGAGATTAGAGTAGTTCCTCGATATTCATATGTCGCGAGAGTTGTTGTATTGAGCCGGTACGATTAATTTTGATGCTCAAACATTTAACGGACTCTGACGTTCACACATTCTCCGATTTAACGATCAAAAGCTGTCTGTTTCGATACTGTAGACTTAATACTGGCAATACGACTCCACAATATTATAATTTTTCCACCTTAATTCTGGAAATATTAATATACCAATAGTTGTAGCTTCGAACATCCGAGCTACAAAGCAGAGTGGTGGCGGTGAGAGACAACGCAAACGTTAGAAACCTCCTGCAAGAGGCAGCTGTTGGGTTGAAGAAATTCTGCTTTATATTGCATTTGATTAACTTCTGCACGATAACCGAACGATATTTATTCTACGGTATAGTTGAGAAATCATGGTTGCCAAAACGTGCGATTATCAGTGTAGCGGGGATTTTCGATATTCTATGGATGTTTCTTGAAAGTCATTCAGCACTCATCCTGTTTAATATACTTTCCATAGTGCGAAATATGTGCGACCTACCTAAAAGAACAAACTCATTCTCTTTAAGTCCTCGACGGCAACTACAAACCCCATCTGCTAGGAAGACCTCTTTTCGTTTACTCAGTCATCCAGCGTCCAGCTTTAAATTTCAATTTTTTTCTTATGTCAGTCACCTTCATAGAAAACCGTCGCCCCGCAGTTCACAGGCCACACATAGTTCAATTAATAGGGAATTATAACTTAAAACATACAACTAGTTGCGTATTTTTTTTTCTCGTTCTTACTAACAGTATGGTTCAAACCCACGGTTTATTATTTTTGCAATTCAAATTCGTTCACGAATTAGACCTCCACGCCCACCTGCTCCGTCGGTGTACGTTCTCATTGCCGGTCGTGTCGTTCATTTGAAACACACACTTGCGACAGCCAGTTCGTGCAATTCCTCTGGGTGACTGAAGGCGTCGTTTAATCGTACCTCAGACCCTTTTCTGCGTTCAAGTTAACAGCAGATGTTTTGACAGCTTGAACCACTGATTCCACTATCCAGACAACCTTCAATTGCCGCGTTTCCATTGTACGTGGAGGGTACAGGACAATTTTTACCAGCGATGGTTCATTCAGTGCACGTTCTGTCGAAGCTGTCGGGGAAGACGGCACCCCCGAAGTGCCAGCTACGAGTAAGTCAGCGAGTACTGCGATGGTACTCAAGGTGTTCGTGTTGGGTTTCTATTGATGACTTGATGTTATTGCAGTCCCATCAAAGCCAGCTGCTTATAAAAACTTGAGAAGTTTTTTTTGTAAGACCTGCATATTAGCCAGCGTGAAGTTCTTGTACGGAACGTGTGGACATTGTAACATACGAACACTGATAAAACATATATACAGTAGTCACTCAGTAATACAGTATTGCTGGTGACTGTGGTTTGTTCACAAATAGACAACAGTAGGCACCAGCCAGTCATACCTTATCTGTCACATGTTAGTTGTATTGTTCGGACGAAAATCTGGAGAAGTACGCTACTGGGATTAATTGGCCATCTCGGCGAACAAATGGGCACCCGCCTATCCCAACGAATTCGTACGCGTTAAAGTATTACACGAGTTGCTCGTGCATTTCGGGTTTAGTGAGCTATATAACGATACAAAATTCTCTTTTCCTACACTGCAAATTGCAAAGCTAAAAATATAATGACATAAAACTTCTACCTTTGAGTTATAAGTCACTTCTATTGAAACCAAAAAGAGGGACCTCTAATACTGTGTTCTTCATATCTAGCTGTGCGCTAAATAGAACATCATTATTGGCATGCTGGGTATGAGATATAATAATGGTGTATCACTTTTGCTAAGTTCATACTTGAAATACAGTTTGGTACTTATGAGGCTGGTGCACCTTACACACCCCAACTGCCGTGATCGAAGGATAGTAACCTTGAAGCGGACGTAGTCGTCGGCAGCTTAGATACCCAAGACAATAGTGCATAGAGAACTAATGCACATGGATGACGATAGTTGCGTGGGGATGGCAAGCGCTCTAAAGTTACACTAAGACAAAGATAGATTGATGGAAACGAACCATATGCGACCGGCAAGTGGGTGATCGATGAGGGAGAACTGGGAGTCCGAAATAGTTGATGCGTGAACGACGTGTTAGGACGGCCACGACTGTATCGCACATGACAGCAGTGGGAGGGGAAGTGACGGGAACGAGGAAGTATAACATAGGTAAAGCATAAACACCAAGCTCGAAGGGCGAATGCGGCAGGTGGTGGGCACATACGTTCAGGTTGCGGCCCACTAAACGATGAAAGGGAGATGTGGGCGAGGAACTCACATCGCAGTGTGGCCACATAGTAAAAGATGTGGCGGACCTAATGCCTCAGTGAGACAGCTGTGATAGTGATAATATGCTCTCAGGGCAAGGGATAGAAGTAGCGATGGCAACCCGGCCAAACAGAAGACATATATGTAAAGTGATCGACATATCTGCATGTATATGCTGACATAAATTTACCATGAAATGTACATTTGACATAAACAAGAAAATTCCGTACGTTTTCACTTTGTTAATTTGATCAATTGCTTATTGATCTGGGTTGGTATTTAACCGACGCCAACATTTGGATAAACGACATATCACACATATCGTGATGACCATGTCACGACATGGTGACGTCAGGTCCGCTAAAGGTGACATCAGTGGATATCAAATATAACTAAACGAATGTCCTACTGACATTTTTCCGATCCATTGATCTCAGATCAGCCAGATAGGCCAATACGCGATTGATTTGAAAAGGGGTGGTTGTAGTAGCAGTAGTGACAAGCACCAGGATATGGACATTGAGGTCCAAACACCGGCTGATAGAAGAAGGGGACTAAAATTTGGTTTAGGACATACATATGGATATTCATATGTATAAATATGATTCATGGACTAGCCTCGTTTTCTTTGTAGCGTAGATTGCCGGACAATGACCAAGTATTTTGTATACTAGTCAGTAGATGTGACAGAACATTTAGCTTAATTGATAGTAAACTACGGGTAAGGTCTACTACAATTACAGACTACAAGTAAGACTACAAGTGCAAGATTTATTAAAATTACTTATTTCTTTTCTTGCATGGATAGATCACTGATTGAGAATACACTTCTGATCACAACTACACTTCGATTCACACTTCCAATCACGACTACGTATAGCTCACTAGCTCCATGTAGGTTTACTAGTTGGTAGTATGCCGGTATCTTTCAACACCGACCCACAGAGTCAAGGACGCTCGAAATCACGTCGCACTCCTGTGATGTACTACGGGCGTCGGAACAGACCGATCTTGACTTTAGTTCACGATTGGGACGTAGAGAAGTTTCAAGAGAAATACACATGACTGATCCCCCGAAGCGGTTGAGCTGCCTGTGATGTACTACGGGCGTCGGAACAGACCGATCTTGACTTTTCTTTGCGATTGAGACGTGGAAAAGTTTCAAAAGAAATACACACGACTGATCCCCAAAGCGGTTGAATTGATGTATTTCCTTTTTCCATCCAGATTAAGCTGGTGGCAACTTTAGGGACAACTAGTACGGTGATTGAGGTTTTGAATGCTGGCTGATTGCTTATTAGGGCAGTGCAGCCCATCTGAGGAAGATGCAGCATAGTGCAAAACTGTTAAAGGAGACACGCAAGCAGAACATACCTTCTCAAACGGATGAGTGCTTTAAGCTGTTCTTCTCTCTGATATGGACAAGTATGGCGTGCTGTCGGCTGTCTACCATCTATGCCGGTGCGCAGTGATTGCGGGGGTGCTATGTTGGTACAAGTTGTCGACGGCAAAGATGTGGTCGAATCGTTCCAACTGGAGACCGTACCCCGGTCAAAGCTGCTGCTGGCCCGCGCTTTACTCTCTTTCTGTGTGACCAATGTGACTTTTCGGATGACAGAGATATTTGGCCTCATGGTAAACATCCTGCTGCCGAACCGGCCAATCAGAACCACCCACAACAAAGGAGTGGGACGTGCAGGCAACTATGGCTGACAAAATAATTTATGAGGCACGAGAACACATTATATAAACAATATCACCGAAGACAAATGTTGGGACTACACCCAATTTTGATTTGCCCATGGCACGTCCAAGCCTTACAGATTCCTCACATATGGTGACGGATTTCTGGAAAGCGTACGAGATGGATTGGGCTAGCCGTGCACGAACGGATGAGATTCCACATATGACAGCGGGTTATCCAGACCTTCACTTTATCGATATTTGGATTCGGGAAGCAATGAATTAATTAGAAAAGAAACCACTTTAGAAACCTTTTGTCTATATCGAAGGCATGGGTTGGCAATATTGCGGAGTGTGTGATGGTTTGCAACTCAATGGAGAGCTGACTACCTTCGACGATGACATACTTTTTACTCCTACAGGTCGCTGGCGACTACGCCCAGCGGTGGAACACATGTAGATTTACCTTTACCAGTGTAACTGCTGATTTCCAACCAGCCGCATGGCTCAACAGGATGGTCGTGAGTATCCCACGTCCAACCTACACCTGAGCCAGGCTAGACTATTCTCTCTCAGTGGGGCGAACCGAGCGCGAACGCACTTATTTATCTGCGTTTCCCCCCATAGTTCCGGTCAAAGTGCCAAAATACCTTTTTTTTTTCAATCACGAAAATACCTTCATTTTTCGCATACATTTTCCTTATTTAGGCATATACTGATGGCGGCAAAATAACAATTTATAGGCCGTATAAACCCGATGTTTTAGTCTACCGTCCCGATTTATTCAGCTTATATTCCTATTTTTTGAGGTTGTTTGCCCTATTCCCGATTTATATTCCCGATTCATACACCTGTTTTTTGTCTTGTTTTTTTTTTGTCAATGTAAAATTTGTTTTTTTCACAGGCTAAGAAGCCCAGCTGTACCGTCCCGATTTACATGATTTTCCATTCCTAATTTTAACAGTATATAATCCTATTTTTTGAGGTTGTTTGGCATATTCCCGATTTATATTCCCGATTCATACACCTGATTTTTGTCTTGTTTTCTTTTGTCAACGTACAAATTGGGGTTTTTTTTCACAGGCGAAAAAGCCCAACTGTACCGTCCCGATTTACATGAATTCCAATCGTATTCTTTACAGTATAGAATCTTATTTTTTGTGGATGTTGGGCATATTCCTGATTTTTATACCCGTTTTTTATCTTTTTTACATGAACGAAAATGACAAATAACGATGCTACCCGACCAGACGAATCGAGTAGTTGCAGCAGCGACGACGACATTACAGTCGATACGGATACGAGTTGTGACAGCGACTACAGTGGCGACGACGACGATGACGACAATTCAACAAGCGGTACTGTGTGGACACCAGTGGCGGTAAAGAATCGCCCAGCAACCGGCATCATGCCAATGTGTGGACTGACAAAAAAGGGGAAACTGTAATTTATTCGCGTATACGCAGACGACTGCTACAGTGGGACGAGCGTCATGTTCGCAAAGCTGGAGAAGGCGATTGACAAAGTAGCACCGGGGACGAGTGTCATTGTGCGACTGTTCTTTATGAACGGACCAAGCGAGAACCGAACGCCGTCGTGGGCAACGACAAAAGGTGAGAAGGGGACAAACGACTGGAGTAACGCATCAGAGCTATTTAGAAAGTTGACCGTGCATTTGCGCAATGAAAACTGATGCTTCCTATTGCAGCTTGGATTTGGCTTTTGGAGCGAGTTCCACGTGTTGGAATTACAATGAAACCAGGCATCAACTTTCCGAGTCCGGCACAGGTGGATATACTCTTTGATATTGTCAACGTCAACCGCGGCCCGCCACAGGTCACCGTGAGCGTGGGTGTGGGCGACAAGAAGCGTGTGCTCAGCGACAGTTTCCGAACGCATTCGACAATGGTATATTTTACGACTCGTTCATGAAGACCAAAGGTATTGAGTCGGCATATGAGACGAGCCTGTACAACGGATGTAAGTACAACGAGCGCGTATATACAATGAAAGGTGGGGAGTTCTCAAACGGCGAGGGTAAATTGTAGGCGATTATGGACACGACCAAATTGCTGATGAAAGCGCGCGCCATGCACTACATTCTACCTAACGGAACATCGGGCATCCTGTCGTTCAGCAGCTCCAAGGTCCAGGAACTGTCTGAATACATGGGGTATCGCCTCAAGGTTACGGCTGCAAGTAAAAACGCCGACGGGTACACTCGGCTCACAGTGTCCAAAGTAGGCATTGCGCCGACACTGTACGATCTGAACGTCGTGCACAAGGGTGTGACGTTTGAGCCAACACTGCGAAACCTGAAACCGGGGGCGAGTCGATACGTGTACGGCAAGATTATTGTTGGTGATAATACACAGTTCCAGGCCGAGGGTACGCGGTATCTGGAAAAATGCCACTGATGTAGGTTTTATAGCGGTTGGTGAAAGCGCCGGCAAGACCGGGTAGGGCAAGAACAGCATTGCCACAGGGCAGTATGCGGGCAGTGTCTCGCAGGCGGCAAATAGCGTCATTCTCAACGCGTCGGGCGCCGACCTCAACGCTACAACCGAGGGGCTTTTCGCCAGCCCCTTACGCAACTTGAACTTGGGTACCAATGTACTGTACTATGGTACCACACCGGCCGAGACCAAAGTAGTCGAGCTGGGGACGTGCGTAAGTGATTATCTAAGGTGGAACGGCAGCAAATGGGTATCCGGGGGCGACAAGGTGGTAATTGCGTGCGGTGCGGGTGCCAACGACCAAGCCCAGGGTGCTGTGGCCGTTGGGTGTAACGCAGGTAATTTGTCGCAGGGGCAATTCGGCATTGCAATTGGCGACAGTGCAGATTTCAGTTCACAGGCAGCCAACAGCGTGATTCTCAATGCGTCCGGTGTTGTTCAAGATGCTGCGAATGCGTGATTTTTAGTCAACCCCATTCGCAACGAACATCGTGCGGATCAGATGCTGTACTACGATACCAAGACACGGGAAGTTGTGTACAGTGACAAGCCAGTTCAGGGACGACAGGTGGCGTTTAGGACGTGTGTAGAGGTATTTGCTGCACACATCGGCAACGTGCGAGACCTTGGTGAACATGTCGATGCGCACGGCACATTCGGGATATCTGTTCCGCAAGACGAGCAAGTTCCTCGAGGGTCTCGCCGTCAAGAACGACGGCACGATTCGGAACATTGACAATTGCATTGTTAGCAATTCGTACGGCCCGTACAATTTGGACGGAAAGTATATTGTAAATAGCACGTTTTGTAACAACGGACGTGTTATTGAGAGATTTACGAGCTAGAAAAAAAAACGAATAAGCAGATTTGAGAAAACTACATGAAAATGAGGCCGTGATTATTTCATTCTCATTCTTACACTATCGATTTACAAACATGACTAAGCGTGCAATTCAAAACAAAATTACACCTACCACTAAGCGTGTATTCGTCGATGTGATGAATACTACACCTCGCGACACTAGTTCACCTCCCAATATCACTAGTTCTGTTTTGTGTGAATTATTCGCTATCTTGCACCTGGACTCAATATCTTGGTGTCCAAGTCACCCGACGGCACGTGGAACCCCACCACCATTCTTCAAACCCCACCAGGTTCCTATAATCTAGTGTTTAAGCTTGGGATGAAAGATGGTGCGAATACCGGGCGATCACGCTGTGTCGGGCGTGACCATTGGGTGGCCATGGAATTGCACCGCAAGATCAACGACCTCACCAGACCGCTAATCTGGGAGGAAAACAACAAGTTTGTCAAGACCGTGCTCCTCGTCGAGCAATCTGGAAACAGTATGGGGAAACCAAAATATATCGACGCACACCCCGGGTGTATCGGGAACAACCCCAACCTCGCGTTTGTCGATGAACGCCATTTTGGTGTGCGAAACGCCAGGACTAGAAAGAACATAGGTGGGCTTCTGGACGCGACCATGCACCGCATTACGTCAATCGGGATTACGGCGTTAGCTAGCATCACACGCACCAACGGAATTTACACTATGAACTAGCGTTGTGGTTTTTGAAGCACATACTGCGACTAGAGATTAATAGAGAAATATGCACAACACGAGAAAATTTCAAACCGGCAAATTTGCATAATTTTTTTATATCGATTAATGAAACCATTACATACCAAATCTACAGTTTCATCCAAAAACTGTGAATCCAGCAGACTATAAACAACCAATTTCTCAAAGCACTTGCCAAAAGCAACTAAAAACGTGCAGACAGAAAAAGCACCCACTGACAATACTGTCGAGGATAGTAGTGTGGGCAATGACATACAGAGCAGTATAATGGACGGTATCGCGCGCGAGGCACCCGAGACTTCCATAACCATCGGCCAGAGGGCTGCAGAGCACGACCAGGGGACATATGCAGTTGCGATTAGATTCGCGGCCGCAAGCGTATCCCAAGGGCACGATGCCGTCAGTGTAGATAGAGATGCCGGATTCACACAGCAGGGTATTGAAAGTATCGCCATAGGCAAAGAGTCCGGGCATAACAAGCAGGGAGTGCGCGCCATTGCACTGGGATTGCTCGCCGCCCACCAGCGCCAAGGCATGTCTGGAGTGGCCATCGGTGACAGTACTGGACTCGACTCGCAAGGTGCATAAGGTGCATACAGTATTGCTCTGGGCCCATCTGCAGGTGGCGAACACCAGGGTATATAAGTCGTTTCCATTGGATTTGGTAGTGGCAGCAAGTTTCAGGGCAACAGTGCGGTTGCCATTGAACGAGATGCTGGCACGGTGGACCAAGGTCTCAAAGCCATAGCTGTGGGGTACGGTGCCGGCGCGAACACGCAGTCGCTCGGTAGCGTGGCAATTGGCGATCTCTCCGGCAACATGGGACAGGATATGAACGGTGTTGCGCTTGGGCCGTCCGCCGGACAGATGATGCAGTATATAGGTGCCGTGGCCATTGACCATTTGTCGGGGTTTACTGACCAGAGTGTTGGTGCCATTGCCGTTGGGCGACTCGCCGGTCAGACTGGGCAGAGTGAGCATGCACTGGCATTTGGCTTTGGTGCGGGAAATTTGGACCAGGGTGATGATGCCATAGCCATAGGCAGGTTGGCCGGACAGACGCAGCAGGCCCCTAATAGTGCTATTCTAAACGCGAGCGGTGTAGCGTTGGACGCTCTGACCGAAGGGTTGTTTGTCGACCCCATTAGGGGTGCAGAAATGACTGACCATGTGTTGTATTACGATACAGACACAAAAGAGATGATTTTCAGCAAGCTTCCTGAACTGGAACAGCAGATTGGTGACGGGACATGTGTATCCGACTATCCTCACTGGGACGGGTCCAGCTGGGTGGCGGGGGGTACGGAGGTGGGAATAGCCTGCGGTGCGGCGGCAGTGTCCCAAGGCTGAAATACAGTAACAGTGGGCAAAGATGCCGGCAACGACTCACAAGGCGCAAATGCTATTGCAGTTGGTCAACTCGCCGGCCAGATGGGGCAGGGGGAAGATGCTGTGGCCGTTGGTGGTGGGGCCGGGCTTGACTCGCAGGGTATATACGGGCAACGCCTTCTTTTTGCCCAGAAAAACCTCATTTTTATTCACCGATTGCAAAATCGCCTTCTTTTTTTACCATTCTGAAAATCACCTTCTTTTTGAACCATGTCCCAAAATCACCTTCTTTTTTTACCAATTTTTTTTTTGTGTGTTTGGCAGGGTGGCTCTGAGCCCTTGCCAGCTAGCCCAGCCAGCGAGCCGGGGCCTGTATGTGCAATTTGCCGTGGCCATTGGAAGCCTTGCGGGTGAAACGAACCAGGCTGAGGGTAGCATTGTCCTAAACGCATCAGGGGCGGCACTGAACGCGGCGAGCGCGGGCAATTATGTATTTTTGAAATCAGATTTATTTGACGTATAAAATAAATAGAAGATGGCGGCCTTGATCATCTTTGCGATGATATTTTTGCTACTCGTGGTGGTTGGCGTAGTCTGTGCACTCGTATATTTTACGTCCACCACTGACGACACGACCACAGCCACAACCGAAACAGCGACTACGGTCAGCACGGCCGCAGACTCTACTACTGGAGCCCTGACTAACCGATCATGTACTACTACTAGTGGTGGGAGTGGCAATCGTCAAATGCCGCGCCTTGGGCTCGGTGTGTACGCTGGACAAGAGGCCAAGGGACTGGATGTGGGCTTTGAGTGGAGATACTACACCATGGCCGAGCTCAGCAGCCCCACGAGCAGGGGCGAGTACAACTGGACGACACTGGAAAAGGATCTGGTAGGCGCCAAGTCCCGTGGCCGGCCAATGGTCGTGCGGATCCAGGACCAGAGTGGCACCAACTCTGGTGACGACCAAAAGTCTTTACTGCCCCCGTACGTGAGCCAGCCGAACAAGGTGCTGTTCGGCAGCTCAAAGTTTGTGGGTGTGGACTGGTCGTCCACGGACGTGCAGCAGTTTGAGCTCGACTGTTTCACGGCGTTCGCGGCCAAGTTCGATAAGGACACGCGGATAGCGTACTTGCAAGCGGGCTGGGGGTTCTGGAGCGAGAGCCACCTGTACCACGACGGCACCGACTATATCAAGCACGGGGTCAACTATCCTTCAAAAGAGTACCAGGCCAAGTTTGTGGACCACCTGGCCGGCCTGTTCAAGTGTCTGACGTTTTCGTTCAGCATTGACGGCGCGCTCAGCGGACTGCCCCTGGATGATTTGAGGTACGGGGTCTTTAACGACTCGTTGACGGCCAAGGGGAGTAGTAGCCAGGACACGTACTATGAGCAGCTCAACTTTGCAGAGCGCAACAAGACCCGGCCAAGCGGCGGCGAGTTCCTCGACTTGATCAAGACGCCGTTTGGGGATGCGGCGCTCCTGGAACGCGTCAAAAAGTACAATGTGCAGTACGTGTTTGCGAACCAGCAGCGCGAGGACTCGAACTGGGACCAGGCCGTGGCGGCCGTGATACAGGCATGATATTAAAAAATATATATAATAAAAAAATAGACCGTATTTAAAATATGCGTTCAAAAACTCCAATTCTTGTCGTTGTTGGACTGCTGGTCCTAGGAATACTGTTTGTTGTTGGTATGAGATACAACGTGCTGGCGTACATGGTGATTACCCAAGCCAACTATATAGAAAATTTGAAGAAATCGCCCGAATCATCAGAAGAAACTTGATTTTATGTACCCGATTTTTATATATCTGATTTATTTACCCGATTTTTTTATACCTGATTTATATATACCTGATTTGTATATAGCTGAATTTTATACACCAACGCCACTAACCAACCACGGCCAGTTGGCGGGGAACCCTCCAATATCAGCAAGGATTTGCTTTTCGACCCTGTCGTACACCGTCTGTCGATCCACCCAATAGCCGCGGCGTCGCGAATGGTGGCGGTGGCGCCTGTACCGGCCATAATTCTCATACTCGTAGTCGTCGTCGTCGTCGTCGTCATCGCCATCGTCATCTTCAGACTTGTCGTCACCACCTCGGGCCACATCTACAGCCATGTTGAATGCAGAGTTTCTATCGGCATTGTACGAAGTACAGTCAAACAGAAATCGCATTTCGGCCATGCGACGGGCTACTTGCTCCACGTTTGGCTGTCCGGTCCGGATAAACTGCTGACAGAGTCGCGAGTCTGACCGACGCACAAGTCCAAGTGTTGACAAAGCATGGTCCAGAAGCCCGTGTCTCTTGTACTGGTCGAAATGCAACAATGACTGTGCCACAGTCATTGTTGATACAGGGTTACGTAAAATCTTTTCGTGGCGCGCAGATTCTTCTTCAAAAAGTACACATCCGTCTTGCTCATCAGTGTCATCAGAGCATAGCCAAGTCCAAAAACGTCCAAATATAGAGGGTACGAACCCCAAATGCACCGTGGCCTCAACGTGCACCTTGATAGCGACATTTGGCATCTTGAGGGCGGGAGCGTCCATTGGATCTACAAGTCGCAATAAATCAGTAACACACTCGGCAGTAGCCTCAAGCCCCTCCAGGTGGTCGTCGCGGTATTGTCTAACGTTGTACAATTTCATAGAAAAAAGCGACATGACGGGCACCAGAGACTTTCAGACCTTCTGCAACCGCACACCGCGACCAACTTTAACAGGGGCGTTGGGATACTTGAGCTGAGTCGGCGTTATCCAGCTCAACGTCTCGTCGCCGAATTCCAGTTTACAGCCGGCTACGATGCTCTCGCAGCGCGAAAACTGGACCATCCGGGCAAAGGTCATACCGCTAGCCACCTTGCCGGTCCTGAGGAACGACGCGATCCGTGGAACCAGTTCGTCGGCGTCGGCCCACAAATCCACTAGCATTGCCCTGGGTACAGACGCAGGTGCAGAAAACCATGGTATATCAGCCATTTCCATTGGGTTGGTAGCGGTAGCAAGTTTCAGAGAGACAGTGCCGTGGCCATTGGTCGAGATGCCGGCACGGTGGACCAGGGTCTGAAAGCCGTAGCTGTCGGGTACGGTGCCGGGAGGAACACACAGTCGCGCGGTAGCGTGGCAATTGGCGATTTCGCCGGTAATGTGGGGCAGTCGATGAACAGTGTTGCTATTGGGCCGTCTTCCGGGCAGACGATGCACGGAACAGGGGCCGTGGCCGTTGGACACTTGTCTGGGCTGACTGACCAGGGTGCCAGTGCTCTTGCCGTTGTTCGACTCGCCGGTCAGAAGGAGCATGTACTAGCAATTGGCTTTGGTGCCGGTAATTTGAACCAAGGTGATGATGCCGTAGCAGTAGGCAGATTGGCCGGACAGACGCAGCAGGCCCCTAACAGTATTGTACTGAACGCGAGCGGTGTAGCGCTGGACGCTGTGACCGAAGGGTTGTTTGTCGACCCCATTAGAATGGTCGCTAGTGGAGACAATGTTGCGCTCGCGTGCAATGCCGGCGCTATCGCACAGGGTGATAAGGCCGTTGCGATCGGGGCTAGTGCTGAAAGTGAAAACTAGGGCGACTACACGATTGCTGTTGGTGCATACGCTGGAAGCAAAGACCAGGCCGCCAATAGTGCTATTCTAAACGCGAGCGGTGTAGCGTTGGACGCTCTGATCGAAGGGTTGTTTGTCGACCCCATTAGGGGTGCAGAAATGACCGACCATGTGTTGTAATTAAATGACGCAGCTTTTTATATGAACCATCAAAACATGTTAATGATGTGCTTGTGAAGCACAGATTAAAGAAAAAGGAGCACAACATTCACGACAGTTATACGCAACCAAAAACCCAGTTTTGAAGGCTGTCGAAACGGAGATGTTTATATACTTCTATATGTCGGTTAAATCTGAGGCTGGAGACCAATATAGCAAATGAAGTAGCCTGCTCAGATTGTGTGGAAATTCTTAGGCAACAACCGACGGAAGCCAGTGACTACTGTATGACTACTAACTATATACGCATCAATAGTGTTCTGTATAGACTTTCGTATGTGCTTCCGCTAGAGTGACATGGCCGAACACTCACCCAATGCGGCAGTGCAATCGGCATGTGACTTGGTAGCTTCCTATCATCAACTGCTGCTACACTCAAACTTTAAGAAATGCATAAACACGATAAAAGTTTCACCAGCCGAGATGCCTTCAGGAAGGAGTCGAAAACGGTTGCTATGGTATGCAACACTTTACGAACACGACCTTTGCGCTCATCAAGGCATACAAAGAATACCTTGACGTTGGCAATATGGCGCACAGGTGAGGGCTGCGACGGACTATCCTGGAGGTACTCAATGAACAATGGAATGGCCTGCTTCGGTTTATGTGCATGTATATAGCAAAGGATTTACATCCTCAATCGCTTAAATGTCAACTGGGGTTTTTATTTGATGTTGCTACGGTATTATTTGGAAAGGAAGATATCCATATCAAGTCTGCCATCTTGAGAAACAGAGCACAGGCGCTCTTTGTCAGACCACCACCAATCAAATAGACAGGAGCTGGTCTCGCTGTTGACTGTGCTACCATGGTGGTAAATCTATGTTCCGGGGTTTGTGGACCTTGCAGCAGTGCTTTCGGACCTTATCGGGAACCGTGTTGTGTTCCAGTGGGAGACAGTTTATCAGGTAGCGTACTCCTATGCTTGCTATTGGTGCACGGATCCGTTTGTACTAACTTCTACCGCACTAACGAATAGTAGTGACACCAGACGCCAAGTAACAGATGAGATGGTGCTATTATATTTGTTCAAATCCTCTCCCCCCTCAATGAGGAACTGAAAATCATAACAAAATCTAATGACTGCTGCAAAGAACTTGGCATGCCATCGGTCTATATTCATTCACAGGTTCCAAGATCGGCTCTTCTAGATGGCAGGACGAACGACTAATTCTGCAACGAAGGTAAGGTTCAAGAAATCGTGGAGCCATCATAAGTAACCAGGCCTCAGAACCTCGCTACGTTTCCCAGGATGGCAAGTATACCAATGGTGTATGCGGCTCAGACACTCAGGAACCTACGCTCCATACCAAGCTGAAAGGCTGGCTTACCAAAATAATACTATAGCACAAGTATTAGGCAGCCATACGCCTCGTGACCGCATGTTGACTGATGGGGCCGTGTTGTCGACCAACCACGACCATCCAGTTCATGCCTCTATCTGGTGCACAGTTCAAAGACGCTCAGTTGTCTCCCGATCAGACCCTGGCTTCTTTCGAACCCCAGTTGATCAGGGCACAAGGTCTGGCCTCTGAGATATCCACCCGCAATTACTTGCTGGTCATTGACCGGGTTATGTTTTCCGGACACCAACATGCATTCCCTGACGAACAGGACGACATAGTATATATTATAAGAGAATATTACGTTTCTGACCACATCAGATCAGAACCTCCGGTAGCAGATATGACTACACTTCCACAGTATTTGAGAGACCCAGGTAGTACCATAGGCGAGTTTGAGCGCCACTATCCCATGGTATTTCGGTCCAGTATGCTCAGTGATTCCTAAGTACAACTATCATGCTACATCACGAGAAATTCTCGGCATCCGCTTGGCCGTCAGAAAGATAGCGTTTCTGGCACACATGCCATTTCTTCCCACAGTTGTGCTTTCCGACCACGGGCCGTTGATTAATATTGTAGTAGACACGTCCACCCTATATGCACTCTCGTTTGGTCAAATATCAACGGTGGATGCACAGCATAAATATATCAACAACATTCGGGTGACTATCTGTCGCGGCGTCTAGACACCACAGACGAGTTGTTGCTTCAGAACACAACCTCCTCTGATTAGTGGCGTTTTCTCCTACAGGGTCACCACGAGCTACACAGGTTACGGGCCCTTTGCATGCCTCCCAGACACTCCCACATAGTCCCACCGGACACCGGCGTAGTATAGTCGTTATGGCACCTGTTGGGCTGATCCGTCTCAACTAGAGCTGTTTGCAAGTCATTAAATCACGTGCTGCTGACCTACTATACTAGGGAAGGGCTGGGGCCTATGACCTTGACGCCTAACATGTAAGCACACAGTACAATCGCTCTTCTATAAATTTCACCGTGGAGGAACATTGACAAGTTCCTTCGCACGCGTCTTGTACTGGTTGTATCTCATGCCTCTTCAGTTGGTACGTCCTGTGTGATCGAGGATATTAAGGCTCTTACCTAGAGACAGTCCCGATCATTCTTACACAAGCTACTACTGCTAAATCCTAACTGACTTAAATTGTATCTTAGTTTATTTAGCTTAGTTGAAACTTAGTAATATCTATCGAAGCTTACAAGGTACACCCACTCACACAACAGAATCCGCCGATATTGTGATCACGGACCTAATGTACAACCCCGAGTCTGGACAAAGCCAGTCTTACCGCCACCTGAATTCCCCTTGTGTACCATGTTTTCCCAAACCCGACCACTGATGCAGGCCTCCACAACCGCCGCAAGGCTAAGGCAGAAACACACACTCGCCGTTCTGAAGCCTGAGAGATAGCTGTGTTAACGGAAATTGCGGTACTCATCCTGGGGTACATAGACCAGTCAGTGGGACCGAAGATGATTTACCGCGCCCTGTGGATCTGGCATGATGCATATATCCGTCTGGCACCACAATGCCTGCATGCATTTGCACATGAGAAACGTGCTTGGAATGTTCCGACCGACATCTTTCATACGGTTATCTCGTCCTGTGGAGAATGATCTTGGGTCGGACTACCGACGGGATTCACCCGCGGTCTTCTCCAACAACAAGAACAAGCCACGACATTAGGGGAGGAAGTTAATCTGGACTTTCCATTGTGTACAAACCGATAAACACGACTATGTCTCCATTATCATTTTGACTCAAGGCGGCTGCACCCTGCGTGTGTTTGCACAACCTCTCCACAAGTCTAATTATAAGGCCAATGTATTTATAGACTTCTGCAACGCCCAGCTTCTCTTACGAGGACACGTACAGACGTACATGGTTGACAAGAACAGTGTGATTATGTGCGATGAATTTGAAGCCTACGCTGAAGCCAACTAAAACGCACGGATTCAGGCAATGGAAGAATCGAAGTGCTAGCATGCACACTGAAGTACTAGCTAAAACGATCCTTAGGACCACCAATGGCGTGAGATGGTGCCGGAATTTATCGCCAATTATAATGCCGCACACTCGAGTGATATCAATACCTTATACCTTGAAAATGGTTAGAAATTACACTCACAATACTGATACGCTGGTCGTAGCGGTGCTACACAAGGTATTGGGCTGTGCTGAACCTAATATATCTTCTCGCCAAAGGCCAGTTGAACAAGATAAGGGGGCGGTTGAAGCGGAGGAAACCCCACGTGCATTGCAGAAAGTATCGAATCGATGGTTTATAATCGAGAATAGGCGTGAAGATAAGTTTGCCAAAGACTGGCTCGGCCCAGCCGAGGTTCTGGCACACGTGGCTCTGGTGATGAACTTTATCATTGACGAAGCCCTCAATAAGGGATACCGGTTGCATCTCAAGAATACTAAGGCTTGTGTGCCGCCATTTGGTCGTCAGGACAAACGTCATTAGGCACGATTGGCACATCTCCTTATAGGCAGTAGCTTTGGGTTTCTCCCCCTTTCGCAAATGAGGATAAAGCTCATCTCTCCGAGCTGCGATTGCAGCGTTTCAAAGCAGTGTCCCTATACACTGCTACTTTGTCGCTTGTATTGGTGCTTTTAAGCACTGAACACGATCTTATTTCCAACAGATTGGACCAAGGGCGACACTTTCTCTGATGACGATGAGACATTTTTTCGCACATCATATGCCTATCCTTAACTCGGATACAGCGTTGACTAATCTTAAAAAGACCTACAGATTTGCTACTAGCCGTCTGGAACGAGGAACGCAGCTCGCTTAATGAGCTGTAACGAAGCAAGCGGAAGGTTGTCAACGATTTGAATAGCCACTACTTGCCTTCTCTTTTTAGTCGCCAAATCCGGACAGTATCTTACAACAGGGTTGTAATAGCAGTTGGGTCATAAACCAGGACCTGTACATTGAAAATCGAATGCCCTGTACCAGCTGATAGGAGAAGGAAATATAAATTTAGTTTAGGACATACACATGGATACTCATGTGTATGCATAAAAACCATGGACTAGCCTGGGTTCTTAATGCAATGCCCGAGCCTTAAAATGCTCTGTTCCCACAGAACAAATCAGAACAAGTGCTAGAGACCATGGAAGCAACGCTTATCAGCATTGTAGCAGACAGACTGAAGTCAAATACGCCTGCTCCCACAGATGCATGGACACACAACGAAGGTAACGACGGTGATATTGTCAATCATCGAGACGATATGTTTGTACGGAACTATATAAGGCAAGTATGAGAGAATCGATATGAACGTCAACCAAAAGTAACGCAGCAACTGGATTCGCACTGTTGCATGTAGGGACATGACTAAATTTTGATGGCGCTGACGACTGTGAAACCGAGTTGGTGTGTATGCACTCCAAATTAAGCTTATCATGAAGTAATTTAACCACCATGCGATCTCACATGTGGACACTACACATAACTGCCATCAAGTTTTTATCAGACTGCATTCAGTCGCGCAGCAAAACTTTTGCAATCGGACTGCATTCAGTCGAGCAGCTAAACTTTTGAAATCTTATAATTACCTTTGCACCACAACAGTATCCACGTACATGGATCTGAGCACACTTTGAGCGACGATATTAAATTAGATATATGCATGGATCCAGTACCTTATGCATTCCTTCTCTCGTTTCTGATACCGTGATATATAACAACAAAATTTCAACCAGATAGAGCAATACACAATTGTCATTTTTACACAGAACGGCGACTGCTGTCTTATTGAACCCACTAAGCATCTTACTACGTTAATTTTTATATGAGACTCTTGAGACCATAATATTTCATACCATCGTAAATATGTAGGGAAAAGCTCTTTAAAATCGATCAATTGATAAGTGATGTCACAAACATTATTTCGCAACTATCACAACTTCATATCTTAATCTGCCCGGCGTGGTGATTTATAGTTGATCACAGTCTTACATCCCGGTCCGCGATGGCATTCAGTCGTCCTTTATTAAACAGCTACATTCTCCAGTTTACAGGCTGGAGTTTTATGCACGACTTTTAAAAATTTCATGTATGAAAATCAGTATGTATTGAGATATCTTCAAGAAATACAGGGTCTTCATGTCAGAATAATAGATTCCAAGGTAACACGGGTCTGTTTCAATTTATTCCCCCTACTTACATAATGCGACGGCAGCTGGGTTATTTGGGAAGTCCCGGACTTGTGTCGCCCTAAAGGTGCAAACGACCCACTTCAACATATTGAGCTATGTTCGTAGTCATTTGTAATAAAATAGACATCTTGGACGTGGATAGTGAATATACCTTTCGTAAAGAATGGAACATTAAGACTTCTCTTCGTAATCTGATGCTAGCAGCTAGACCCTCAATCTTCATATTCAGCTGTGCGCCAGTTCATATATTTGAATTTTACATTCTTTCAATCTTTGGTCCCCGCGAAATCACAGCCAATCAAACCTTGATGACATTCCCATGGAGTCGCACAATTTACGCATCGAACATATCGAAATAAACTCGAAACAGTTCGAAAAAAGTCTTATACGGCATTACAACAACCTCAAATTTATTTCCTGATATTGTAGCCGAACAACAACGAACGGCATTATTACTAGATTACTATAATTATCTCTCCATCATCTCCATCTCGCTCAAGGGTATCGCGGAATCTCTACTTTTTGAATTGACCAATTCACGTCGAATATCTTCAGTCATTTCCGGGTGAGGATGTTTCTTTATCACTTGCATGAGAGCATCCTTCTGCTCGGATGAAATATCTTCTTTGTATCTGTATGGATTATGTGCAAGAAGAGGAGAACAGGCAGAGCAATGATGAGCATAAAAATATATATACACAAATGTATGTTATGAGAACGGTATCAGGATTCCTGAACATCATGCATGTTCACAAATTCATGGCGTGCATCGCAATACATCAAATATAAGGACACACGATTATCTATACGTGGTCATCTCTAAATATCTGTGCTTTATAACCTGTGTACAATCTTACAAACATAGCAAACAGATGTATACACATAAATTGCCGGATGTGCACCTGGTAACTACAAGAGTCGCGTTCACGCTGATGTACGAAGTGGTTTCTCGTAAAGAATTTCAAAATGCAGCTTCGCACAAAACGGACAGAAGCGTTGTGACGTGTCGTTAAAAAAAAGGCACATCGCCGTTAAGATCTCAACCAAGTCATACTTACCTTTGTACAAAGGCCAAGAATGACTGGTGCCAGAGCACGGGATACATTCGGTTGTCATTTTGAGCACGTACGAAGTGGAAGACCATGGCGTCGACCACTCGGTAGGGGAGGGCATATTTCTTATCTAACAACACACGTATGAATATACTTGTGCTACCCGTATATTCCATTTCCGCCAGCTTCAAAAGTGCGGCAGCGGAGTGCAGCATGGGCACACTCGTCTTCGACAGTACCGAACCGAAAATAACAGCTTCGCGCAAGGTACAGTCTCCGGTTTCAGCGAGAGGGAGAAGAATCCCCTTGAAGAATACTTGCGGTTTGAAGAGGGCTTTTTTAAGGGCATTGTACAAGTGTACATTGAGCCGTTTATACTCTTCGATATCGTCTCTGCATCTCGGTAGAAGTACCAGATTGAAGAATCGCTGGGCTGCTTTGGGGTTTAAATTGGAGATAAACATACGCGTCGCCTGGTACATGGAGGCGGCAGTCCAATTGTCGGGGTCGGTCATAAATAGGATTTCTTCCCAATTCTGCAGAGAAGGGATGATTTTAAAGGCTTTTGGGAGCTTTCCGGAACGGTATCGGGATAAGAGCACTCCGACAGTCTTATATACTTCCTCTACTTTGGGATCCATAGTGGTCAGCTGGCCCACAGTGCGTTCTGTTTGTGATCGAGTTGAAGTATTAGGGTTGATTAGTGATGGACAATGGGAAAGGATAAAAGAAAGAAAGTAGGTTATTGGCCCACATTAAGTAGATATCAACGCTGGTCCAGGATCGTTACGAATAGTTTCCAAATCGAATATTCTCAATACGTTTCCCATCCTTGTATGACGGCAACTCCATACAGACAAACGTAAACCGATAAAGACACATTCATGATAGAGATATATATGCGCCAACCTACTATTGGTTGTGCGTAAAGGCGAGACAAGAATCTAAATGCGATCGACCTTGATAGCAAATAGCAATCCATTAGATGTCGAAAACAGGCATCTATGAAAAAAAATTTGACAAAGCGTATGCTATTTCGAGGGCGTATTGAAGAATTTTGTAAACATCCCAGGACCCAATAAACGTTTTATACAGATTATATCTCCGTCTTAGAAAATATCGTACACCTGCAGCCTGCATACATGCAAACAAGCAGCATGGATCGAATCAGTCCGCATCGAAACATAAAACACGTATATTTTCTAGTTGACTACCGATTCTGGTAGTCGAGACATATATATATATATTAACAAATACGGATGCGTTTGTAAAACTGTATACATATTTTCTGTAGATAGATAACATGAAGGCAAGTAAATACAGGATGTTGCTGAATACATGTGTACTCCTAATCACACATATGCTAACATATATTCAAACAGGGGTTAAGACACCGCGGTGTCTAGAACTACACGTGTAGACATAACCAATCAAATGTGTTCCCTCGAAATCAAATGTGCCATATTGATGTTAAAAGTGCCTTTTTAAACACTAACACAACCACGTACCAAAAAAAACAAAAAACACACATATATATATAGTTGATACCTATATTTATATATATACTCCCATGCAGATGCATTTGTATATAGATCATACCCATTTATATAGATACATAACTATGTGCATGTAACCCAAATGTGTTCATATTTAAACGCAAATACATATAGCTGGGAAGATATGGACACAACTCCATTAAAAAATATATATATACGTGTATCAATTCCGATATATATATATGCGTGTATATGTGGATATTGTCACGGCGTGTACAGTGTGTATGTTTTGTTAATATTGTATGAGCATATATGCATAAATACGAAACGTGTATATGAATATACTACTTATGTGTATACACATAAACACAAATACATATAAATGAGCATTTATTCCATATACATACATATATATATATATACAAGTATATACATATACGAAAACACATACAAATACTCATACACACAACACAAATGCACATACACACAAACAGGCACATAATATATATATATATACATATATACATGTACATATATATATATCAATCAATTTTCGAGTATAGATGCGGTCAAAATATATATGATTAAGTTTGGAATACCTACATACATATGCCCATATTAATACATACAAATACAGATACAATATATATATATATATATACATATATGCGCGCACACACACACACACAAACGTACGATTCACGGACATAAATATATTATATTATATTGTATATATATATACATATAGACGTAACTAAGTATATATTTATGCATAAACACTATAACTTATCATAGGTATGCAAACACCAGCCATTGCAATAAAATAATACAATATCATACTAACACGCAGTGTCAGGACATACTCCACGAAACCGTTTGAACTGCAGTCCTTCTTTATCATACAGAAAGACACCTAATACCTGACCGTTTGAGTTTTGTATCTCCCTCTATCTGATCTCAAAATAAAACCTAACTAATACAGTACTAACACATATCACATACCCGACATAACCGTTTGAATCTCAGTCTCCCTCTCCCTGATTTTGCCCATAATAGCATCCGCCAGTGTGAACCGTTTCGTTGGCTCTTTGGACATAAACTGTTTTAGAGCCCACTCATCATCTTCGTGCACATCGTAGTCATTTGCAAACTTATCATCGTCATCGTAGTCCTCATTTGCCTCTGTATCCGAATAATCATCTCCATTTTCACCCGTCAGTCCAGACGTAAGTAGTGATGATTTGGGCATTTTCTCGGCATCCCCCTGCATTTCACGCATAACTTCAGCCTGTTGTTCGCGTGCAGTGGCGATAATTTTGCGCGAAGTCTTAGCATCCATGAACTCCTCGGTTTCTTGTCTTTTACGATCCTTCGGCACCTTCCATGGCTTCGAGACAACCTGTTCATCTGTTGTGATTTGCGTCATCAAAGGCTTGTGCCTGTTGGCCTTGGAATTTTTCTTAACGGAGCTTTGATCCTTCATGTTGATTTAGTATATTGCCAGAATGTATCGTTTCAACTATTTACTACTATGTGCGTACGCTACTGTATCATCAATTGTGAAGTGCACTTGTGAAGGGGGCACTATATGTCAACTGATATTTGAATTTTGTTAGGAATTATAAAAGCCAAAAATCGTCCACGTGCCAAATATATTATTACACAATTTCTTCATCAACGATCAAATCAAGTATTTAAGAAAATGAAATAGCCGCCTCAACCCTCCTGCCTGGCCCTGAAGTCGGCTGGAGATTGAACTTTGAAGAAGGCTAATAAATGAAACAAAAAACCTTTTTTCTAAAGGCCCCCCATTCCCCCCTCAAAAACACAAAACCTTCCTTTATTAAATACATTAATACATAGCATCATGTACATTTGACGAGGTGCAATTTAGTAACGACTATAAACACACTGCTGTCTACTATTTATTAAGTACCGTTGTCACTCCAATAAGTGACAAATCTAATCGCAGCACAGAGATAGTTCAATCTCATACCCTGATGCTAATGAAACACACTATTACCTTTTGAAGCCTAGATTTACACTGCCACTTGAAACTTTAACTATTTATAAGAATAAGATATAATCGTATTTGTGATAGTGTTTCGTGACAGAGTGTACTGTCGTTATTGTCGCATATCATCAATGAGTCCAGTTATCGATTCATTGGGATGAGCTTCGCTAGCTGTGTCGTCAAGCGTATAATAGGTAGTATCATGACACATATCATGGGAATAGGTAAAATGAAATAATTGAATCTATTTGCTCACTTCCCTACTATATTTCCCTTTGTAATTCTATTTAATATTAACCAACACGTACAATACTATAGGCATTCTAGGCATCGAAATTTATATCAAATACACAGGCAAGTATGTACCCGTTTTTCAATACATATTGATAATATAATTGCATCAGGGCGATTCGAAATATGTGTCCTTGAAGATACCTGATTAGTTCGTGATCTTCGGCCGGTATATTCGGCCAGTATATTATAATACTTTATTAATCACTCGATAATTGTACAAATGGATGGCATCACCATACAATATATACACATGTATTAAAAGTAAAAGCATGAAGCAGAAATTTTTTATTATATCCAGAAATAAGGATAGAAAGCAGTAATCACGCCAATATATACTATAAATATAATTTTTAGACCCACGAGGCAGAAGTAAAGCTCACAAACTAATTCGTGATGGTGTATAGGGTGTGTTATTATTGAACGGCTTCCCCGAGTTTTTCAACAGAATTTTGGATATTCCTATGCAATTTGAAAGCAATTAATTCGAGACTGCTAGCATGTAAACACGGCAAATGTGGGACTCATTTTATCGCTGATGATGCATTTGAAAGTGCAATCTGAAGGATAGAGTTGTAGCATACATGTATAGGATGACGAAGGTAACATAGAAGATAAATAGTAAAGGCACAAAAACACTGAACATAAATGTGATCTCAATACGACTGCGTCTGTCATATTGACATTGACCTAAACGCTGTTTGATCTATATAAATCACGATTTATTTTTGAAATCATATGGATACACTCGCGGTGCGTGAAATTATTTATCAGTTTGGATAGGTGCGCAGAAGTCTTCATCTTGTGACTTCTGGAGATTGAAAGCCTCAGAATTAGGCTTGTAACCGCGCTCCTCAAAGATGGCCACGGCCTCTGCATAGGCCTCCTCCGACATTGTGGCCGACCGAGACAGAATCCACCCGATAGCATTACAAACGGAGCCCACCACAGTATATTGAGCGTCATCATTGGCAGCATCGTTTCCTTGCGCAAGGATGAGATAATTTTCACCTAGACTAGGTGCTCCCAGGTTGTCATCGCCAAAGGACACTGTAAACGCCCCTTTTTCTGGGTCTTCGGCAGTAGCAGCGCCGATTATTTCGTAGGGCTCGCCATCTCGTATACAGGTGTTCTTCACTTGTACAGTGCCGTTGTCGAACAGTTCATAATTCGCCGTGGTACACTTGCAACCTTGCTCAAATGTATTCCTCACTAAGTCATTCGTAGCAATCTCGTACCATGTACCCATATAGCCGTCGATATCAAACGGATCCACAACCTCCTGCTCAATAACACAGGCCGCAAAGTCGATTCCTGCTGGGGCTCCTGCACCGACCCCATTCGCAGCCCCATTGAAATTTTCAGGCACACCAGGCAATCCATCTATTGAAACACCACTAGGAGGTCTGCCACTGCCTACGCTGTCATCCTCGAGATCTACTACAAATACATCAGAAGGGGTGGCGGGTGAGGGCTGGGCATGTGGTGTTTGTGCGATCGCTAATACCAGACTGGCTACTAGGGATAGAAATTTGCTGGACAACATGTTTATGTATGTTGTTAATTCGATGTATGAATGATATGAGGGTACACGAACGTCTTCCTACCTTTTATATAATCACAAGTCGCGGCTCGCAATTCGCATCGGTTGCGATTTCGATTTGCGAAGGAATTTTAAACACCCATGATCCAGCCCTGAACATTCCTCGGTGGAGCAGCTCTAGCTCTCGCAGGTTGTGTGTGACAAAGCAGTAGTTACAAAATCAAAAGCACAAAAGAATGTCATGATGGACTCTTGGGCTCTTCAACGCTCTTTGGCCTCGCCCGAGGCCCATATCAAGTTTAATATCTGAGTTTAATAATTAATATGGGGTCTCTCTCTTCTCTCTTGTGTGTGTGGTGGGCTGGTCGGGCCCAGGTGGGTATTTGGGACTGGGAATTGGGCCCATTGGCCCCATTGCGGACTGTCGGAAATTAAATAGGACTCACAGTGTAGACTAGAGACTCGAGAGAGAGACAGTGTAAATAGACTGGAGAGTGGAGGACTGGAGGCTCTGTCAGGCCTGTCCTGTTATCACCTGTTGGTAGACTGAGGAGGGCCTGCGGGACAATGTGAGTCCGTGACTCCGTGGGGCTGGGGCTACCCGAGTGCTGAACACTGAACACTTGGGGGCTGGGCCCGCTGGGGCTTTGGGCACCGGGCACTGGGCATTGGGCAATTGATCTTAGATTCTTTTGGGGCTGTATTTTACTGGTTTAGCCATAGCCAATAGAAATTAGACAATTCCAATATAATTATAAAAACAAAATTTGCTACATAAAACATCTATAAATAGTGCGTGATATGACTTTTTACTCTAAAAAAGTGTTCCATAGTATGACTCATCAGTCATCAGGATCATCATTATTCTCGTTTTTATTAAAACAAAACACGTAAACCCACTAATAGTCACAAGAATAACTCTGGAGGTAGGTCATGGATTGCTATTTAAATTTCTTTGTGTTAAAAAGTATGTAATTTTTTAAAACGGGCGGCATTGTTCGGAGACTTTTTACCTTCCCTTATCGAATGTCTCGCACACTGACACTGCATCATCCTTGCTTATCGTTCAACAGACGCGCAGATAAATATATTCAGATCGTGCATGCTTGACGGATCATGAGCAAAAATAATTTGGCAACACACTAGTAGTGTGTCTGCGAGTGCCGGAGGGGGTTTTTCGTGATATTTTCATGTGTGTACTGAAATGCAGAGAGTTTGTTCACCCGTAAAGCCACGAAAGGCCGGATTGACCGCCAACCACGTCACTGCGACTGAAGTGCTGAATGCCTGCGTTGCATGCTGTCCTGTTCTCAAAATGACGATACAGTGCAGTATATCGTGAATCGATCTCACCACACCGTGTGCAACGATTTCAAGACCCTCGTGCAATTCTTAGATCAACTCATTTCCCTGTTGCTAATCCTTTTTATTTCTTCTTCTTCCCGATAGTACCATGTCAGCACTTGATTAATGCTAACTACACGACAAAGTGCTTGTAGGAATTAATACTTATGTAATCGAGACCTATAGTTTCATTTAGTATGATAGCTCAAGGTCCACGCTTTTTTTTAGGTATCAATTTACACATGCAAGTATTTTGTTAAGCCCAAGCCCCTATGTATGATACAGTTTGACAGGCAATGATTGTGCCAGCTTGGATATAAATACAAATCAATATCAAGAGACACAGAAAGTTGTCATGTCGGAAAGATGAAACGCGTTCCTTTGCAATTGCAGACTTCACTTCACTTCAAACTACAAGCCGAATTCGCGTTGGCTTCAATGGCAATATTAAAGTCTCGTTTTTACATATCGTTATCTCAGAACCTCTCAATATATCGCTTTATACCGAGATGCCAATAAAATTCACACCAGTCGTAGCTAGTCGACCATTGCAACATTCTCAAGACTTGAACTGTAACGACATCGGCAACGACAACTATGCCGATTCCAACTTGATAAACTTTTAGTGCCAACAATTAGTCTCTGAAATGAATCTTTCAATTGTGTTGTAGCCTCGAGACTCCCTTTGAGACTTTATTTGTCGAATTAGTAGTCCTATATTTTATCCCATATCGTGATAAAACCTTCAAAATCCAATAGCAAATACTATACAGAAACCACTATACGTCTGTTGTAGACAAAATAAATAAATTTAACTGGTCCAGGAAGTATTTTATTTTAATAATTTTCATACCCGGGCTAGTATATGTGTTAACCAAGATCCAATGTTTCATTGGGGATGTTGCACACGCGAGTAGTCCGCTTTAGTCACATCACGATACATGTTCATACGTTGAATTACCTGCAAGTAGTAGATTCAAAACACCCACGACTAACATTCACTACTACAAGGAATTTTTTATATACAATAGATTATAAGGTATTCTAGAACTTCGACTTAATCATAAATAACGTTTAAACAATCCAGTTAAGCTGCAGTGTCCACGCCGTATTTCGCTTTCAACTTCTCCAGATCCTCGCTCTTTTTCTTAAGATCCGTTTTGGCGAATGCTTTGACCGTTTGGTAGTAAAGCACAACTATGTATCGTCCACAGACGTTGAAACCCGAAAGATGATCGCACGCATTCTTGGCATCGAATATATCCTCGTACACCACGAATGCGGTTCCGCGAGTATCCTTGGCGTTTCCACTGCAGAAGTAGGGGCAATCAAAATAGGCTACATGAGATAATTAGTGACATTTGCGACGATACAAATTAATTGTAAATTTGTTCATGAAGCATGTAGGCGTATAGGGATGATGCTTCGAGCAATAGCTGCGATCAACACAGAATTACCTACGCGCGTGAAATACGGCAAAGGAGTATCACAACGCAGCTGAGCGTACAGCATCCCGATAACCGAGACGTATAGAAACCCAAGAACGCGCAGGACTTCAGCTCAAGACCAGATAACACCTCGACCACAGAAAAATCAAAACTCGTGTGACTCACAAAAACATTCAGTCACCGAGACGAGAGCAACATTTAAACTTACACTCGTATTTGTCGAATCGCTCCGTATTTACCGAATATATCGTACATTTCTTCGCTTGTGATTTTATATGGCAGATTGCGTACATATAACACGCGGTTCACCTCTGGCGGTAATCGGGCCTGCATATGATCAAGATGCGAAACAAGCAATTATAATGAATGAATCAATTCAAGATGTAGCTAAATAATATGCTGATTTCACAATTTGATAAAATGCCTGCGTCAACTCTAGTATGCGGGTTGTGTAGTGGCCGTGCGGTCAGTACTTTGTTACACTTTAGCTTTGACACACATCTGAAGGGACTGTGGAGATGGGCATGCATTAAATTAACTTTTACGCATCCAAATCAAGGAGTATGCGAAGAAAAAAAAGCGACACAAAGGCAGACTGTGATTGTTGTATCATAGCCTTTCTTACATTTGTTCAGGCACGCTGAGTGTGTATAGAAAATTCCTTTTGTGGATCTATAACCGCACACGCACATTTGCAAGTTTTCAATCAGTATCTCACAAATAACTCGCAGCATGCACCCAAAATTCCAACACTCGATACATGCGATACCATCCCGAATGGTGCACAGAAATATAAACATACGGGCATCAAAATTAAATAATAGACAGATGAAGCAAAATAATTTCAAGCCACAAACCACTAGATATCCACAACTCGACTCAAAAGCATAAAGGAAGGCACAAAGCGAGAAGAGTCGATATACATTTACAATATATTAAATCGAATTTATACAGGCGAGTGGAACATGATATATTAGGCACACATAAAGGTGCAAAGGGAAACGTACGTCTATGAATCAGGATGTACAGTTGTATAACTATTAAAAATATAGTATTTATGTATATTTCTATACATATAAGAATAATATATATATATATATATATATATATATATATATGTATACGTATACATAAACATATACACAATATACATATATACTAGTCAATCATATATATATATAACAGATACACATATATGAATATGCACATATACATATATATCTATACATATATAGATACATACTATATATATACATACATAAAAAGACACACGCACATACACGCACACACACACTTATATATATACTAATATGCATGTATGCACACGTACACACACGTGTACACACACACACACACATATATATAAATATATGTATATATTTATACAGATATACATCCACACGCACATGCGCGCACACACACACACACGCACACACACACACATATATATAAATATATACATATACATACACACACACATATATATATATATATATAGATACATGCTGTACTATACTTGCACGTACTTAAAATATAATTGTAAACATGTGTGTCCTAATATATATCGTGATATGCACATTTAAATACAAAGAAAGAATGGTGCTCAGAATATACAGATTATCTGTGAAATGAGAATGATGCAACCTGTTCCAAGAGGTGTAAGGATATATACGTATCAAATCATAGATGCACGCGTCCAGAATAGGCTGAGATACATCCGAGATTAATTGTTATAAAGAAGCACATATAAAAATACACCTATAAATATGAGCAGAGCAGAATATGGAATAGACAGACACTCCAGCAACAGCTATGATCGATTAACTACTGAGATATGTCAACTTACGTTTGCTCTCGTGTGTGCAGACATTGTGCTGTGCTAAACTCGGTTGCTCGGCTCAAGATATGTAACTGTGTTGAGCTCCACTTAATTTTGGAGACCGCGTGCGGGTTATATTAACACGATGATAACTTATTTTTTAGTAGACGACTATATTTCCGTCTGCGGTGTAGTATTTAAAATGAAACGAACAACAGAGTACAGAACACAAAGAGTCACAGTCATAGATTAATATCCAGCAAAGAGAAGAATCCCAGAAGCCAGAGTGCCAGGCCGCCAGAGCTCGTCAGTCAAAAGTCATCTGCCTCTTTAGCCTCTTGGCCCTAATAGTGAGAAATTTATAAGCGTGCTCAATTTTCATACGTTTTCGTAACATCATTTTATTTTCGACAAGAAATACCGTAGCCTCGCTTTTCTTTAAGGGCTATGATTGTACGTTTTCGAAATATGTATTTAATTTGTTAAAATTACGGCCTGTGGCCTGGACCCTGGGGCCCTGGGGTTTATATTTTTTGGCGGGGAATGCAAACAGATAAAAACACAGTGACAGTCTGACAGATTCCGAGTCTCCACTCTCAGAGTTATTGACATAAGTGCAGATTTACACACGATAGTAGTTTCATACTATTTATACCCTTTTGATATTCACGCTTATAGCCGACGACTATATATCAGACTCACACTTTACTACTTCCGTGGTATAACCACAAGCAAACATACTGATTGGTACATGTACACTGAAAACCACCCTATACCGCCTCAACCACACGAGATTGTTCGACAGTCTGCTATTCACGGCCTGGATCGACTTCTACAGCTGGTTGTACAGGTAGCGTAGATGCGCTAAGTAGACCTGTTTCTAGATGCGTATCCTCATGTGTAATCATGGACATCATTTTGTATGTACATGAACAAGGTATTATATATATGACAGGTTGATAGCAAGTAGTTGAATTCAAGGAAAAACGACAGCTTAGTCGGAGCGAGTATGCTTGCTTTTACATAGGGTATGCCTGTATGGATTTGTGCCTTGATAATTTTATATGAAAAATTTTGACAGCTAATGCTTGCATTGAAAGGACTGAAGAAACTGTACAATGAGATCAATAGTGTTTCTGGGTCGAGTACGCCTGTTGCTGGATTCATTTTCTTATGTGATTCATAACCCGGAACATTGCTTATCAGATATACATATACTGACAGCTAGCAGTTCCAAACTCGCCTCTGAGTGGAGTATACCGTGCACCGATAGTCGCAGTATCACTAGGAATACACGTATGCACATAAATATATATCCTTATATGAATAAAGAGTCATGAATTAGAGTCTATATACCACAGCGTGCGCGATGTATAGTCTTATGTATCCTGATATCCATATTCAGTTCGGGTGTGCATCTTCGAAGCATGTCGAGCATTCATCCGCATATAAGGATTGCAATTCTAATAGGATCATTTCTCAGGGAGAGTCTGAGGCTTTATTAGAGCATATTCTACACTCAGTCTTACAGGGGTACTAAGGCCGATATTATATCGCAGTCGCGTACTATTGTTGATGTGTTTGATTTCTTACTCCATATGGAATAATGGTTGGGGTTGAATTATTTTTCTTCTTATTTCGGGCTGTTCAAGTCTCTCAGTTGAGAGCTGATTTAACCCGAAGTAAGCCTATATTTCGATACGGGTAGGTAAGAAATACAGTAAAGAACTGTCACCGTGTTGCTAAGCAGACCTGTTTCTAGATGCATACCCTCATGTGTAATCATGGACATCATGTTGACTGTACATGACCAAGTTATTATATATACGGCACGTTGATAGCAAGCAGTTGACTTCAAGAGAATGATATAGGCAGCGTAGTCGGAGCGAGCAGGTATCAAATACAATTGTCACCATGTTTTTATCAGAATTGATATTTAAGTATAAGATGTCTCCCGTGAAGCACATATAGTGGTAGAGCTGAATACGGAGCGATGGGGCGGGGGGGAGGGGGGGGTGGGGGTGGGAACGGCAAAGGGGCGTTTAGTAGATTTCACCGATCATTTCACCCGTGATCGGTGCTTTAGTGGTACTTGATTGATTGTGTGCTATCGATAGCATTAGGGCACACAGAGCCAGCCATGACGTTCACACGACTGTTGCCATGTCACCTGATGGTGCTACTGTACAGCTATTGCGGAGTGGACAGGCATGTTGAGCGACGAGTTACTGAATACACTAGGTCCCTCACAACAGTCGGGATGGATAGAGGTGTATGACCTCACTGGGCCTAATGTGGTACTAACTCGAGCCAGGCGAGCACAGCTTGTGAAAGAGAACTCTTCATTGCCGACAGCCAATCCCTCAAGCACTGTACCAGTTATCAAACAGGAACCTTTAGCCGCGGGGTTGCCTAGCATGTATACGGATGCATGTGCAGATGGGCAGTCGAATAAGGATGACATGGTTGTCCCCTCAGTGGATGCTGATTGCATGGCATCTCAAGCTGATATGCCGACAAAAATAGATGGAGAAACACAACGGAAACTTCAGGCAAAGATCACCTCCAAGAATGAGATGTTCAGTTCTATCAGAAAACGTTGCAGAAAGAAGAAAGGTGCATGCTGGAACACGAAGAAGTCGTGGACATACAAATATTCCTCAGGAGACCGTGTTCGCATATTTCCTGGGCAATGTCAGACAGATAGTATTGCAGAGGTTCCAGAAACCTCGCCAGAATTTTCCCCGTCGCCCACCCAGCGCTATGCGGGCTCATCAGAACCAAATCAATCTGTGTCGTATGCAAAGAGATTACCTACTACATTCCGTCGATGCCAGCAAGACAGTATCACTGGTACACAGTGCTTGTCAGCCACTAACCTTGATGTGATGGCGAGCGTACAGCCAGGCTTGGACGCCGGCATAGACACCCAAATAATCCCGGTTGCGGTATGTACACGAATGAAGCATTCTGTAAGACCTCGTATCGCAGATGACTGAACGACGTAAATACTCGCACAATCGTGCACACTAAAACTGCCTGCGTCCCTTCGGAGTGTTGGTGATCCCAGATGAAGCAAGTGCACGTGTGGCTGGCACAACCAATTCCATTGGTTCGCAACTAGCAGAGATGCAAAGTACTCACAGTCCGTTCTCGAGCAGTTCAAGAACGCACATCTAGCCCACTTATTTATATTCATGATCGTAGTGATCGCAGATGTGATGAAAGTACACATAAGTGTCACGGTAGAGGCTGGGAGAGGTGTACTGTTCTCGCTCACTCGCTTCGGAAAAGTGCTAGCACGCTCAATCGCTCGAATGGATATATACCCGCTCGTAGACCGTCGAAAACACCAATGGAGTTGTACAGTACTTTTGCTGCCATGCCAAGCAGTAAACAAACAATCGTGCACAGCACACATATGTAATAGAAATTTTATCTTTGTTTTTGTACATACAGGTGGACTCTACAGTTGCGAATGCTGGCGCTGAGGTACCCGGCGCCGATCCCACCACAGTAGAGAGGACTTTTCCGATTGTCAATGAAGTACCTGAGAGTACCACGGCCGAAACAACTGCAGCGGCATCGAGTTCACCCTTGAAACGTGCTCTGAAAGTGCATATGAAAGTGTGTAATACTACTGTGTGGTCTCGCCGACAGACTGACCATTGGTACAATTTTAATCTGTTTGAAGGGCTTGGCTGAGGGCTTAGTTATAGACTTGTGGGAAGCTTGCCATATTTCACTAACTTTTGCAATTATTGCAATATCGTTGAAGCCTGCCGGAAACACCCTGGAGTTGACTGCGCAATTGGAATTAGGAGTGAAGTCCCAGCTTTTGAAACAGGTTAATATTTTACGGTTTTTATTGTTTAGGTGCGTTGTAGTATGTAGCAATGTGTAGGATGAATTTGCGTATGTTGCGCTCATTCTCACAGTACGCTTTCCAACACTTAGTATGTATTGCATTTGTAGCTTCATCGAATGGATACCCTGCATGAATCAAGTGAAATGGCTTCAGCCCTTTCGGTCATGCTACTCACTCAAGGTGGTTTAATGTGAACTACAGGTAATGCAAGGGAAGGTTAGGATCCTACAATGGGCACTAAGTAACCACCATCTCATGGGGAGCTTTGAATACACCAATGAGCCTAGTCATCCCATAGATTCGACGAAGCTTGTTCGTGAGATTTTACTTGCGTTCATGAAGGGGAAGGGGAGGAAGCTGCCCGCTACATACCGGCTACAACACACTACACAACCCGTCAATAAGCGTTTCAGTGAGTTCTGTGACGTTCTTCGTGAGTACATACACATGCTCACAGGAAGTGCTCCGTCTATCGAGGAGATAAAGGGTGGTCAGACGGCAATATTCTACGAGAGTAACGAGTGAGAGACTCGCAAACGTATATCCATCCGATGAAGACTTTGTGAAGCCCGATGAGAGCCAATAAACACGCACTTCGGACGTACGGTCCTCAAGTTGTCCATTAACGGCAAAGGGCTTCATACTTTCGAATTAAATAAGGCTGAAAAAGCTCTTGGGTACGGTTTGAAAATTTCAAGCAGAGCTACTGACTGCTATACTCGCGAAAGCGATGGGCTATGTCGACTTTGATCACGAATGAGAGTGAATTATATTCTGAGGTTTAGAAGTGAACTGGCTATCATCGAGCACGCCACAGCGCTTCAACATGATCTGGATTACATATCAACTTATGACTTGATTGCCCTTTATTATTAGCCGTGTCAGTGACGTCGACATCGAAGGCTACAACGAATACAACGGTGTGGTGTGGCGCATTTTGTGTAAATGTAGGTCTATCTCAGCCACGCTAAACTACCTTAATGCTCATATGGAATGCACACACTGGCTCGACTCGGTACTTTTATGTATATTGCAGAGAACATGCAAATGCTCAATAGAGCTGGAAATCAGTTTCTAAGGTCGTCCCTTTTTAATACATTCCACAGCTTAGCATTGTAAAGTACAAAATTTCTGAATGCCATATATATTCTACGCGATTTTTATCGAGCACATATTGCTGCGACAACCTTTCCTATAGGATGTGCAACATTTAATAGGCTGTAGAGTGTAGTTGAATCCTATTTTCTGTGTCTATTTGTATGTCTATGTTATAATGTCCCATACAACTCTCATCTTGCGGAGAGCACCGGACGCATCGTGCACAGTACATTGTGCAAAATACCCATACATGTGCACTTCGATATGTTGTGGAATGACGTCTGTAATTGTCGCACCACTTTTGTCGCTTTCAGCGCGTATGGATACCTTAGATTCTCTAGAATGTGCTACTTAAGCAGATTATTCAGTTCTCCAGCGAGCTGCATCGAGTCTAGTTCCGCACGTGCTAAACAGTTATCTATTGCGTATTGTATCATGGAACAAGCCTCTCCAGATCTTCAGCGGCTGGTATCCTGTCTGTATTCACGTATTAGTCAGATGGTGTCTCATTTAGCGTATACTCATGCATGTACACACACGATGGTAAAATCTGCGTATATCATTCCGATCTTTTCCAAATCTATCGTTCGTATTTCCTAACACATCGCGCTATTCTCCTGCCCTATATAGTCACGCAGATTGTAGACAAAGTTTAATACTACATGCGTAGTCCATTCAAATCTTCCGCGATTTGTATAGTGGCTATGTCCTCGTGTGTCGCACAGCTATCTTCTCGTAAAGCGGGGCAACTATTCACAGGATGATCTAGCGTGGAAGCCATGTGATCTGCATAAAATCATCAAAATACATGGTCATCGACCAACCTTAATATGTGATTTGATATATGTATCACTCTGTTGTCCTGCTCCGACAGATTTAAAGGCTCAAGGTGAGTTTTAAATATCTTGTAATAAAAAAATTGCCTTCAAGATGGGGTACCTTCACCGAATGCACATGTTATCATACATTTCAACGGCATAAACAAAGCCGATCTATCCTGTGAAGCACTTACGAGAATGAAGAGCCAACGAACGCAAGAAGGCCATCCGCATGCGATTGGTGTTGATTCCGAAATCTCTCTTCTCTGACCTTCTGTCTGGGGACCAGTGGTTGAGTACCGAGTGGCACAGGATGTTCTTGACTGATGCGTTGTTAAAGGTCTGAAAGATGTACAGCAGAAGTGCGAAGGCGTAAAGTGGTTAAATATCAGTAATCTTCTGTCCCACATTGTGTTGACGGCTATACTAAAGTCTTCAGAATATCTCATCGATTGGGTCTTCAAGCTCCAGGCAGCATCTTGCATGTTTAAAGAGGTTAACAAATGGACATCACAAAGCAACAATATTTCCCCTTTCAGGCAGCTACACACCTTTTCGAAGAATTTCTCGTGGTCTATATAGAAACTTGTGTGGTAGAAATTTACACAGTTCATTAGTGAGTTGTTGAATGTCACATTATCGAAGCTTGCCCGTTGATGCAGTTCAAGTACTGGTGACAGAAAGGGGTTGCTTTCCGCGTCGATCTCGCCGCCCAGTCTTGCACCGATGAATCGAACGTGTATGAGATGAGACCCATCGAATGATGTATGGGCCATCTGTACCAGATCAAATCCGACATTAAACAGCCTCACACTGCGCAGATCTACGTGCTGCATGTCTGCCTTGGCGAATGAGGTGTCCTCCATTAGCGAGCCGGATAGGTTGACCCTGTCGGTGGGTGTTGTGTTCATTAGCCAAGGTTGGTATTACGAGCTATACATATGAGTACGAAAACTTGTTAAAATTTGATATACTTATGCACGTAGAAAGGTCACTTCTTGTGTGTCCACTATCATATTCCCCAGCTCAGCACTTGTGACATACCTTTTGAGTCTAGCTTCCAGGAAGTTGCATCCGTTTATGACAGCATTGCGCATATCTGTTTCGTGCGTAGGCCAAGCATAGCTAGTTCCTGGAGTCGGGGTGACCGAACGGTGTGCTTTTGTGCCATCGTCGACCACGTATTGCATGTTTAAATGACCAAGGGAATGAAAATCCAGGTAGCATGAAGCGATGCGATAGAAACAAAGGCAAACAGTATGTGCAGTTTGCCCTACTTTCAATTGAATTTGACTCGTTGAGTTATCGGTACCCAGACAAGGCACCAAAATCTTACGGTTCTATGGCATACCTGCATCTGATATATTCCGAATAACAGCCCCTTTAAACGTGCAATCGATGAATTGAGAACCAGAAAATATGCATCCTAGGAAGTGACCTCTATCGAAGGTGCAGTGCTTGAAAGTGCAATTTCGCAGGTCACATCTCTCGAATCTGACATCCTGCAGTATATGCAGGATTATAGTATGGAGCCAAATATGAAACTTCGAAATATGGAATTCATTTGTTGTTATAATTCCGATTGGTGGCATACGGAAATGAAAAGATCGAATCTTTGAAAGAGAATCAAGCTGGTGCTACGACAGGTGCAATTCGAGAACGTTACCCTGTTGTATTTTGACATACCGTCATATCGACGTGTGTGAAAGCAGTACCAAGAAATTGACTCTGAGTCAAGAGCGAGCATGCCAGCGATACGGCCGTGATCTCACTGTATGGCAGCACAAGTACGCGGTCGCACTTCAAGTTGTTCAGAATTGGTGCGCTATTTATCATTGTCATGAGCTTTAAACAAAGTGGGAACAAATGTTTGATAGCGGTGAATATGTGCGATAAATACATGCAAAGTTGGTAAAATTTACAAGTATGATCTATGATTGGATCGTGTTGCAGTTCCCAAACGGTATTGCATTGATTGATCTTTAGTATCAAACGAATAACACACGCTATGACTATACAAGATGAGTATCGCGGTTTAAACAGCCTCAACCGCGGGCCCTTAACACTCAAGTCAGATACTCAACCCATAGAAAATGTTTGCCTGGTGAGCAACTGGATTCTTACAGCAAAGGAAGTCAGATACTCAACCCATAGAAAATGTTTGCCTGGTGAGCAACTGGATTCTTACAGCAAAGGTACGGTCTCACAAGTGTCAACATCACAAAGATTTCATATACAAATGTTTATCAGATAACTCTAAACTTCCTTTACCTTCTCCTGGTGGCCTACGACGCAATCGGTTAATCGGGATGACATCGGGGGTAGCGGCTGTATAAATGACAGATAATGAATGAACACGCAAGGATAATACCATTATTCAATGTCCCAATAGCGGAAGGAATTGCGTTGTACACTGCATTGAAAGACGACCAAGCTTACCACTAGAAAGAAGTTTGCAAGGTCATAGACGCTAGAGACGTTTGTGTCCGCTGGTATTTGGAGTTTGCCAGTTCGCAGGTAATCTAGTATGGGTCCGAAATCCTTGCCTGCAAGATTGACATTGTTTAGCTGCGAGTGCTCTTATCATAAGAGTATATAGCAGAAGTCATACGCGAAATTTCATTTAATAGCTTGTCAAGTAATGCATTGTTCTCGAATGAGAGAATCGCACACTCACCATTGTGATCAATAAAGTACGCCCCTTCATCATCCAAGGACACGGGTACGCGGCCCTCTAATAGTGCGGAGAAGAACGTCTTTTCATCCGGGGAGAGTAGTGTACATCGGGTTGTTACGTACTTGTACCCTCCAATGTTGAGCTGTTGAAAAGTTGAATGTGGAAAGTTTAATTTATATGATATCTTTATTTCTTCACCAATCTTGCATAACTAAACCTAACACATCATAAACAGCACAACCAAACACAGTGGTACGTTGAGCTGTATTGTTTGTAAACATATTCAACAGGTCTGTGTCAGTTTTGTACTTCTCTAGAAGTGTGTGGTCAGTTCATCACAGGGGTAGCCAGCAAAACTGTGTGTGCTTTGGCATACTGATAGAAACGTACTGTATTATTAATGACAGAATTCATATTTGTTATATCATATTATATGCATAGCGTACAAGTTCGTATTGCACTGCAACTATCTAAATTATTTTCTGCCAATCTTTATAGAATACAGTGACGATGCATAACACTCTACATTTGAATTTTCAGAAGACTCACGTGTGGATTCGGTGGAAACACACAACTATAGCGAGTACATCCACATCCAAACTTCAATAAGTCCTATCTGAATGAAGGTAGCTTTACCTTTGTTGACCTCTGCTAATTTAATTTCCAGTATTCAGACGAGTCGTTAGATACATACTTGTTGCACTATCCCACACATCTCAATCGCGGTAGCCTATAAAACAATACTCACACAGGTTCCTATTCAATCAATATTCATAAAAACTGCCACAATCTGTACAAACAGTAAGTGTACACCTTCTGAACACTTCAACCATAATCTATATATATATTGCATGGTCACTTACCTTGACTAGACTCTCGGGATGTCCTTCTTCACTCACGGTCTTGTGTGTACGGGATTGGACGTCCTGCTGTGCGGTCTCACTAACTTCTTTGTGACTCATCCTGTTGAGTAAATTAATCTTTACCCATGTGTAGGTGTGATGGAGATGCAAAAACAAGTTGTGGTTGTGCGATGCCGAACGCTTGATAACTAAAATTCTAGAAGCGATGTTGCAATACTTGAAGAGATGTTGTTCACTGTATTGACTTTCGGCGTCGAGCAACTGTCGGCGTATAAACAACCATGAGGCTTGGAGAGAGTTGATCTATCATGTAGATCGTAGCAAAGGGTGTTTGTTTTATCCTGCTGCATACACTCCGTATCTCCGGTTTATCATATTCCATAATAGTCCAGGGCGCTAGGCATATGAATACGAATGACGATAGATTAGCTGATATCAGAAGAAAAAAAAAGTTTCCCCGTGAACAAACCAATGAGATACGACGTTGCTACTCATAATTTGATTGGGGGATATAGCGCTATTAAAATTTTAAAAAGTTTGTAGGAAAACCCAACGCTCCACGGCCATGTGTTTTCAAAAAAAAACAAAATGACTTCAAATGTGTTTTACTTTACTATGTAAATATCTGCTAAATGTACAACGCTCAGTACAACAGTAGTAAGACCAATGGAGTGAGAGGATCAGGGGCCAGGGTCGATTCTATTGGATTTGCACACAAATTTACAAATACAAAAGACACACCCATACACCGAAACTACCAGATTTTGCCACGTCAAGCACGCGTTATCAAAAAAAAAAATACCAAAAAGTAGTCGTTGCACTCTAGTTTCGATAGTATCTTTCAGATGCAAGCACGCGTTATCAATAAAAAAATACCAAAAAGTAGTCGTTGC